CTAATAAACACAAAAGGAGGACAGAAAAAGTCGATAGATGTTTGAGAGGAAAGAAGAAGCAGGCCACACCAGAGCATCGGCCAACCACACACTGGGGAGGGTTGAAGCAGCCAGCTTCACACATGACCTAACTTGTGTCGATGGTTGCGTAAAACATCTACAATCACAGCCCAAATTGTCCAAGACCTTCACCCATTGTCAAGAGGAAAAGAGTATGTCTTAGACAGGTGGATGTCTAAAGGCATATTTTGAGAAAGCTGTCCCCGCGGTTTTATGCACACAAAAAATTCTGAAATAATGCAAACTGAGCCCAAAAACGTTAAATTATGCTTTTTTAATAGAGGTTTTACGGCGCTCGCAACTGCTTAATGTTAATTTTATGAAAGAATGATAAAGGAAAATAATCAGAAATTATGCAAAAAAATGATCAAATTTTTCTAAAATAGGCGGGGAGCATAAAACCCCGGAGACAGAAAGAAAAGCACATCGACACAATAATGGCCATATAGTAGAGTGCTGTGAAAATAATAAGACAGACAGACAGAAACAACAGAGGGAAAGTAAAGAGGTGCGACATACAAGTAGCGCTCTCCGCCCAACAACCCGCCGTCTAAAACAGTGTCATTATAATATTTTAGAAGGAAAAAAAAAAACCACAAGGAAGAAGCTGGCAGTGTGTACAGATTGTTGTAGTCTGGGATAGGTGACCATTAGAACAGGATCGACTGAACATTCATTATACGAAAAAGCCACATGTGGTATATAAGTTATTGTTTACGCTTTCGTTAAGCCCCCCCCCAAAAAAAATAATAATAAATAAATTTTAAAAAAAATTTAAAAAATAAATAAATAAAATAATTAAATTTAAAAAAAATAAAAACTATTGGCCCATCTCCCACCTCCTACCTTGTTTCTTCTCAACAACTGAAGAGTCGTAACAACCCCCCCCCCCCAAAAAAAAAACCCCAACAACAACAAAACCAAAAAAAAAACCCCAGCAGCTCCTCACTTCCCTAGAAACAGTCAACATTTGTGAGTTTTTATGACAGAACTACGTGTGCACACAGTTACTAAATTATTCATCCTGCTTGCTTTTTGTTTTGCTTCATCAAATTTGACCCGAAAGTTATTAAGGTGAGTCCATTAGAGGCCTATCGCATTCCGTGGACTCTGCCCCGCAAACAAAAAATCTGACACGCTAGCCTCGTTGTTATCGGCATCCAACCCTCTTGATCGTGCGCAAGAATATCAAACATTATATTTGAATTAGACGGATTTAATCAAATTTCAAAATGAGCCAAAAAGCTTTTGCTCCTCCACGAAAGAAAACCCGTCCGGCCTCAAATGCGTTAACAAAAAAATATTATCAAAGGGGAGATTATTTTATTGACCCTTTCTGCTAAACTGCAATATGCACTGGGCATCACAGACACTTTGTTGTTTTTGTGTTTTAGTTTCAGTAGAGGTTTTACAGCGCTCGCAACTGCATACGGTCATAATTATGAGCGCCAGAAGATTAGAGCTGTTACAAGAGAGTAAAAAAACATGAAACAAGAAGAAGGGGAGATAAGGACGATAGATGTTTGAAAGGAAAGAAGAAGCAAACCACACAAGAGCACCCGCCAACCACCCACGTTTTTGTTTTTGTTTGTTTTTTTCTTTTGTTTAGTTAGTAAAAGTTTTATGTCACTTGCAAACACAATTAGGTCATATTCGTGCAGAAGATTAAAGGTGTTATTGAAAAGTAACATACGAATAAAAGAAGGGAAAGAGATAAAGACGATATATGTTCGCTCAGAAACAAGGAGCACACAACATCAGAGAACCCACAAACCACCACCACAGATACTCTGACAAACTATCTTGTCCCCCAAAAAACGAAAACCCCCCCCCCCCTCTTTTTCCACGAAGCCACCCCCCTCTCTCTTTATCCAATGTTGCCTTCTTTAGCCTTAGTAAGAGTTTCACTTACGGCACTTGCAACACAATAAGGTCATATATTTATTTTATGTTGCCTTTGCTTGTGTCCTCCCAGGAGACCGTCAGGAGAACAAGTGTAGCCAGAACGCCGAGGTGATGGCCATGAGCACGTGCCAGGGAGAGAGACAGAGACTCTCCCTCGCCAGCAAGACCAACAACACGGCGCTGCTCTGTCGGTGAGTTGGGTTTTTAAAAAAGTTTTCGTAAGAGTTTTCCGGCACTTGCAACACAATAAGGTCATGTGAGTGCCGAAGATTATAGAGTGTAGCTTTAGTTCTGGTAAGAGTGACATCAAGCAACTGGCCCAGGATTGGGAAAGGTGGAAAGTGTTTGTTCGTGCCTATATCCTGATCCAGGGTAAGAAAGGCAATGATGATGAAGAGTTTTACGGCACTTGCAACACAATAAGGTCATATAAGTGCCGAAGATTAGAATGTAGTTTTAGTTCTTGTAAGAGTTTTACGGCACTTGGAACACAATAAGGTCATATACAAGTGTCGAAGATTTGAGGTGGTACAAGAGAGTAATAAACACAAAAAAGAAGGAGGAAAGATAAGGACGATAGATGTTTGATAGGAAAGAAGGAGCAAACCACACCAGAGCACCCTCCAACCACCCACTCGGAGGGTTGGGTGGGGTGTTTAGTTTTAGTAAGAGTTTTACAGCACTTGCAACCCAAATAGGTCATATAAGTGCAGAAGAATAGAGGTGTGACTAGAGAGTAAGAGATGTATGTTACGAAAGAGTAATAAACAAAGAAAATAAGGAGGAGAATGAAGATTCGACGCGTTACTGGAGCGTCACAAACAAAGAATAGAAGGGGGAGAGAGAAAGATAATCAGTGTATGACAAGAAAGATGGAGCAATCCACACCAGCGCACTGGCCAACCACCCACTCTGTCTGCGAGTGTGGAGTCACTATAGATGGTCTATTTCGTCACTGCTGTCTGCAAGTGTGGAGTCACTATAGATGGTCTATTTCGTCACTGCTGTCTGCAAGTGTGGAGTCACTATAGATGGTCTATTTCGTCACTGCTGTCTGCAAGTGTGGAGTCACTACAGATGGTCTATTTCGTCACTGCTGTCTGCAAGTGTGGAGTCACTATAGATGGTCTATTTCGTCACTGCTGTCTGCAAGTGTGGAGTCACTATAGATGGTCTATTTCGTCACTGCTGTCTGCAAGTGTGGAGTCACTATAGATGGTCTATTTCGTCACTGCTGTCCCAAGAAACAATGAGCGACTCTAATGGTCGATAGAAACACTGCTGTCTCAAGAAACAATGAGAGACTCTAATGGTCGATAGAAACACTGCTGTCTCAAGAAACAATGAGAGACTCTAATGGTCGGTAGAAACACTGCTGTCCCAAGAAACAATGAGCGACTCTAATGGTCGATAGAAACACTGCTGTCTCAAGAAACAATGAGAGACTCTAATGGTCGGTAGAAACACTGCTGTCTCAAGAAACAATGAGAGACTCTAATGGTCGGTAGAAACACTGCTGTCTCAAGAAACAATGAGAGACTCTAATGGTCGATAAAAACACTGCTGTCTCAAGAAACAATGAGAGACTCTAATGGTCGATAAAAACACTGCTGTCTCAAGAAACAATGAGAGACTCTAATGGTCGATAGAAACACTGCTGTCTCAAGAAACAATGAGAGACTCTAATGGTCGATAAAAACACTGCTGTCTCAAGAAACAATGAGAGACTCTAATGGTCGATAGAAACACTGCTGTCTCAAGAAACAATGAGAGACTCTAATGGTCGGTAGAAACACTGCTGTCCCAAGAAACAATGAGCGACTCTAATGGTCGATAGAAACACTGCTGTCTCAAGAAACAATGAGAGACTCTAATGGTCGATAAAAACACTGCTGTCTCGAGAAACAATGAGAGACTCTAATGGTCGATAAAAACACTGCTGTCCCTAGAAACAATGAGCGACTCTAATGGTCGATAAAAACAAACTCGAGCCCACATTTTGGAACTGACTTGGCCTACCATGCACATCAGCAATCTCCAGTCTCAGCGGGGCTATATTTGGGTCGCCGTGACGCCAAGCACAAAAAACATTTTTAACGTATTTCAAGAATAGGGGGTCGAAATTTGAATTTACCCAAGGTTTCATGTTTTTCTTCATTAACAAAAAAAAAAAAAGAAAAAAAAAAGACTTCCTCACTTGAGAATCCAACTCACTTCTTCTGTGTCTTGCTACAGCAGATAGCCTGACCATTAAACAACAGGAACTGATGTACGGTAAATTGTGAATCTGAACATGCGGAAAAGTGAGGAAAATCTACACTAATAATAGGTTATTTAATTCTTGCTAATTTTACCTCTGAAATCAGATGACCCTCACCTCCTTCAATCACACATATCTCGTCTTCACTTGAACATATATATGGATATTATTTTCACCCAAAACAAGGAAACTGGAAAGGCCTTAAGATGATACCATCAACTTCGTATGCCCAAAGATTGACGAGAGCCTGATTCCACCACGTCGTGCCTCATTTTTTCTTCAGCATCGGCAAGACTTCATTAAGCAATACATGTATTAGAAAACAAAGAATACTTGTACACACTTTCCGATAAGAAGAAGGACTTCCAAGCTCAGACCCTTTAAAAAATGTACTTAATACACTTTATTACATTTTGGTAGGCAGCTATATGATGGTGTTCATTATCTCTCCTCCCCTCCCTCCAACCTTTCACCAGCGGGTGGTCGGCGGGTGCTCTGGTGTGGTTGGCTTCTTCTTTCCTATCATATGTCTATCGTCTTTATCTGCCCTCCTTCTTTTTTGTGTTTGTTACTCTCTTGTAACTCCTCTAACCTTCGGTGCCTATATGACCTTATAGTGTTGCAAGTGCCGTAAAACACTGACTAAAACTAAACAACCTTCCCCCCCAACTCCCCACCCCCTGCAGGAGTCTCCAGCAGTACTCTGACTGCCTCAAGCCCCGTCTGCGTGGCTGTCAAGGCCCGGCCCGCATGGCCTTTGACGTCATCACCGGCAAGTACACGGCACCACCCTACAGCTGCCCACTACTGGAGCCCAGAGAGACACAGGACACCTTCCTCCCCGGCTCACGTAAGTCAACATTTTTTGTGTGCTTTAAGTAAATGTTTTTATGCCTCCATCAACACAATTTAGACCAAGCCTTTCATGGCCAACCAAGGCTATGAGGGATGCAACCCAGCAGGAAGACCGAAATACTTGATAAAAATGATATCACCACTCTGAAATCAAACTCAGGTCTTCTGCATGTGACAGCAACGGACCTAACCACTAAACCACAAACGTCCGTCACACGAGTCAGCTAGAGTTGAAACTGTCAAAGACATACAGCCATATTCGAAGAGAGAAGTGGTCATCTTGGACAGGTGGACGCCTTACAGTGTCATTACAATCCCCCCCCCCCAAAAAAAATACTCAAGGGAGGAAATGCGAAGTGGACGTTTGCACAGATGACTGTCTTGTACTGGTGGCCATTAGGGCAGGTTCTACTGTATTTAACCCTATCCGTACGCCTGGGGTAATTTTGTACCCTAGGGGTTGTATTCTTCACATTTTAGAATACTTCAAGAGTGAAGATCTCTTTGAAACTTTCAGTATTTCTCAAAAATTAATTTTAACAGACTGCTATGCAAAGCGTACGGACGGATTAACGAGTAAATATCCTCTTTGGAAAATGGGGGCACAGTGTTCCCCACGTTGTATGGATACGATAGTAAAACATGACGTATGGATAGGGGCAATATTGGAGTCACTGTGACATCACGTGCAAAAGACATTTTCAACTTATTTTAAGAACGAGGGTTCAAAATTTACCGTTACCCTTTCAGGTTCTTCGGTGCCCCAGGCTACGTTCCCTGACTATGTGAAGCCAGTGCACTACCCGCCAAACCATTCCCTGGACAACCTCAAACTGAACACAGACAGGACTGGGGGCATCAACGGTGACGGTGAAGGGAGCAACAACGATGAGACCCTCAACTATGACAACATCCCTGGGGACAATGATCCGCAGCAACAACAGCAGGAGGAAGGCGCAACGCAAAGGAACAATGAGGTCGACAGCAGCAGCAGCAGCATCATCAACAACATGGAGAGTACCCACAGCAGCGACAGTTACACTGAGCAGCACCAGCAGCGGAGCACTGGAGGTGTTGGCGGAGGAGGAGGAGGAGGAAGAGGAGGAGAGGTGCGTTACAACTACCCCAGCGTAAGCAACTCTGGGATCAGCGGTGGCCGAGGGTTGGAGTCGACTCAGCAGAACACAGAGCACACCCAGGAGAACACGGCACACACCCAAGAGAACACAGCGCACACCCAGCCGGATACAGCATACACCCAGCAGGGCACAGCAAACACCCATGAGAACACAGCACACACCCAGCAGGGCACAGCATACAGTCAGGGGAACACAGCACACACCCAGCAGGGCACAGCATACAGTCAGGGGAACACAGCATACACCCAGGAGAACACGGCACACACCCAACAGAACACGGCACACACCCAACAGAATATGGCACAGCAGAATATGGCACACACCCAGCAGAATACAGCACACACCCAGCAGGATACAGCACACACCCAGCAGGGCACAGCATACAGTCAGGGGAACACAGCATACACCCAGCAGAATAATATTCCACATACCCAGGAGAAGGAGAACACAGCACACACCCAGGAGAACACGGCACACACCCAGCAGAACACAGCGCACAGCCAGCCAAGCACAGAGAGGCCAGCACAGACAAAAATCAGCTCCTCCGGGGTGGAGAGAGAAGAAACGGAGGACAGCGTCGTGGCTACCACACCCCCTCCAAACCGCCAGTTCCAGCCTTCCAAAGCCGATGGGAACACTGCCAGCCGTGTGCTGACCCCTGCTCTAGGCCTTCTGTGCCAATGTGCCATTGCAGTTTCCCTCTACATGCATCTAGTGTTGTGAGGGAAAGCTGCTGTTTTTGTGTGGGTTTTTTTCAGTTTTACTAATAAACAAAGAAGATTTCATAACACCTTACTACATGTTCTTATTAATTTCATCATATTATTATATTCCAGTGTGGATATACCATTTTTTTCTTTTGTTGACTTGTACGTTTTCTGTTGGCTCTAAAATGTCTAAGGACTACAGCAGGAACATTTTATCAGCACAATATGACTTAACTGCATGACTTTGTCTTTGCATGAGTCTGACTTTCTTCTTGACCGAAAGGGGCAACTATGTTTTAGAAGAGGTTTTACAGCGCTGGCAACTGCATAAGGTCATATGAGCGCCAGAAGATTAGAGGTGTTACAAAAGAGTAACAAACATAAAAAAGAAGGAACAAAAGAGTAACAAACATAAAAAAGAAGGAGGTGGAGATAAGGACGATAGATGTTCTATAGGAAAGAAGAAGCAAACCACACCAGAGCACCCGCCAACCACGCACCAGGGGACAACTTTGAAAGTGAGGTATTTGGCTGAGAAGCGAAAGGAAAGAAAAAACCTTTGAAGAATAAGAACAACACTTCAGAAGGGTGTGCCAGAATTTCAAACTTCTGTTAAGCAGTGTTGGAGGATGTCAAGTTTGCAACAGTATACTGTGGTTTTTCTTCCATGATCATGTCTGAGCCCAATGATACAATGATCTTTTGTTTTAGTAAGTCTTTTACGGCACTTGCAACACAATAAGGTCATATAAGTGTCGGAGATTAGAAGTGTTATAAGAGAGTAAAAAACACAAAAAAGAAGGAGGGGAGATAAAGACGAGTGATTTGATAAGAAAGAAGGAGCAAACCACACCAGAGAACACGCCAACCACCCACATACAATGATTATCAACTCTTACACTCTGTACAGCATTGAAATCAGACACACACAAAAAAAACCCACAGAAAAAAACCCAAAAAAACAAACAAACAAAAGAAAGCTACCGACAGAAAAATAAAACTTTACATTACGCTTGAACAGAACATTGAAATGTCTAAGGACAACAGCAGGACACTTTGTAGTAGGCAAAGTATGTTTGCACTTGCATGATTTTGTCTATTCCTGCAAGAATATGACTTTGTACTGCGACAAATAGACTTACATTATGCTTGTACAGAGTGTTGAAATGGTTGTTCCTGAAGAAGACACAGAGCTCCTTCTCCTTCACATGAGAGGAGAGCTCACATAGGCCGTGGTAGGTCAGCTGGGAAGCCGTGCGGTCAAGGAACTGTTCCGCTATCAGGGCTGGAAGTGAAAGTACACCAAGACAAGATAGTTTAGTTTGAGGGTTTATTTAAAGTTTTAGTAGAGGTTTTACAGCGCTTGAACTGCATAGGTCTTATGAGCGCCAGAAGATTAAAGGTGTTACAAGAGAGTAGCAAACATAAAAAAGAAGGAGGGGAGATAAGAATGACAGATGTTTAATGGGAAAGAAGGAGAAAACCACACCAGAGCACCCGCCAACCACCCACTTAGTTAGAGGTTTAAAAAAAGTTTTACGGCACTTGTTACACAAACAGGCCATAATAAGCGCTGAAAATTAGAGGGGTGTTACAAGAGAGTAGCATTCACAGAAAAGGAGAAGCGATAAGGACAAAAGATTTTGGATAACAAAAAAGGAGGAAACCACACCACATCACCCCCCCAACCATCCACAGATGAGACACAATTTGAACTTAAGCCTTTTTTTTATATAATCAAAGCTACATAAGAGGAAGGCTGTCTAAATGAGCTTACGACTGGTATAAACTATATTCCTGATCATAGCAACTCCTATCCCCTGTTGATCTGACACCCTACTGTCCAATGATGATGAGTCAATGCACATGAACAGAATCAGTGGTGTATAACAAAAATTTTCTGATAAGCTCTACCCTATTTAATCACATACCCCTCTCTGACAGGGTGTAAAGTGATGACCAGACTCATTACAAACACTCCTGTGTATTTGCTATATGAAAAAACAAGGGTTTTTTGCTTTGGTTTTAGTAGAGGTTTTACGGTGCTCGCAACTGCATAAGGTCATATGAGCGCCAGAAGATAAGAGGTGTAACAAGAGAGTAACAAACATAAAAAAGAAGGAGGGGAGATAAGGACGATAGGTGTTTGATAGGAAAAACAAGGTATGTCTTGAACGTTCTCTTCTGATAAATCTCACAGAACACACCCATGACTGCTGTTGCACTTGTTTTAAACTCTAAGGAACTAAGCGCTCACCTGAGCTTACTCTATTTTTTACTTTTCTGCACACCAAACACACATCTCAGTGTGTGATAGTGCATGTCTAACAATCAACCCACAAGAGATCAGGTGTATTATGATTATAACAATAGACATAACATTTGTATAGCGCAAATTCCGACTCAACAGCTAGCTCTATACCCTTTACAATCTAAATTATTATCCTGGCAGACCTAATCGTGTCCTGAAACAATCTCACTTTCTCAGGAAGTATACAATACAAGCAGCTATTTTACAGGCCCTAAAACACTAACACACTGACAAAATCTTTTGCTGTCTATGCCAGGGTACCCATTCACACCTAGATAAAGTGAGGGAAATTTGTGTATGTAAAGTGCCTTTCCCCAAGGACACAATATCGGGCCTTCTAAGCCTTCAACTCCCAAAACCGCAACTTCATGATTATTAATCCAGAAGCCTTAAGTACTACTAAACTACCGACGCCCTGAGTCCTGTACGCTAAGGGGGCCAGGTTCCGAAGGACTTGCCCAGGCAGACTGAAATTTTTTAAAAACAATCATTGCCTTTATAAATTCGCATCTTTGTCACACCTCAAAACTCCTTCCAATCTGAAACCAAGAGAGAGAAAAAACCCCACACAGAATCCAATCCATCCCCCCCCCCCCCCCACACCCCTCAGAACCTAACCCATAGAGAGAAGAGACTAAAATGAAAAGCAGAAATTACAGCAGATAGTACCACTTGTTAAAACAAAATTAACATTTACAATTAGTATTTTCAAAAAAGCTCTTCAGTGCACCATGCATATTATTCTTGTCCGACTTTTATTTTTGTTTCAGCGAGCAAAACAAGCAGCTGCAAAGAAAAAAAAAAAAGAAAATGTAAGAACAAAGGGGAAATGTAAAAAAAAAAAAAGGGAAAATGTAAAAAAAGGGAAAATGTAAAAAAAAAGGGAAAATGTTAAAAAAAAGAGGCAAACGTAAAAAACAAAAGGGAAAAAGTAAAAAAAAAGAAAGGAAAAGTTAAAAAAAAAAAAGGCAAAAAGCTGTGCCCAACTGCAGCCTCACCGTAGGTGACATTGTCCTCCTGCTCCGAATGCTTCAGGGAAATAATCTTCTCCACCAGCTGGTTGTAACTGCACTGGTTCACAGCCTTCACCGTCTCCGCGTCCTGGGGGTCCACCAGCCAGCCGTGGTACAGGGAAAGCTCTAGCAGGTCAAATATGATGCACTCAGAGGTGTACTCAAAATCTCCAACACTGTCGATGAGAGACACAGAGAGAGAGAGAGAACACTGTACGTACTGACACGATAATGGTCACTAGATAAAATCTAGTGGTGGAAAAAAACAACCCAACCAGATTTAGTTTTAGTAAAAGTTTTACGGAACTCGCAACTGCGTAAGATCTTACAAGCACCAGAAGATAAGAGGTGTTCCAAGAGAGTAACAAACATAAAAAAGAAGAAGGGGAGATAAGAACGAAAGATGTTCCATGGGAAAGAAGAAGCAAACCACTTCAGGGCACCTGCCAACCTCCCACCTCGATGAGAGAGAGAACACTGTACGTACTACTGACACGATAATGGTCACTTGCTATAATCTAGTGGTGGAAAAAAACAATAAACAACCAAATTTGGAAAAGGAATAAAACAGTGATCAGAAAGAAGTATGACTGATAATCTGAAATGCATCATCAAACAAAAAGTACAACAAAGGGAAGGAATTGTGCATAAAAATCATAAATTTGACATGACTCAAACACCTTGTGAATAAATAATATTTATAACATCCCTTTAGTGAAACATCCTTAGAAGCAGGGCCAGAGAAAAACGAATGTGATTGTTTTAATTGCGCTTTATTACACTACTACAGACACAGTTTGGATAAATTAAGGGTCAAACTGCTTCCACCCAACCCTTCCCCCCTCTCATTTCCACTCAGGGCCAAGATGAGCTGAGTGAGAAATACAGCATCCCAGAAGACAGAAGGTGACATTTTATTCAATTAAAAAAACACCCTTTGATATGAATCCAATAAACATAGCTAGCTGGCAAATGCAAACAGCTTGACTGATTATGAGTGTTTGTATACTAAAGGGTCTGTTTTGTTTTAGTAGAGGTTTTACAGCACTTGCAACTGCATACGGTCATATGAGGCCAAGCGGTGGATATCTACCGAGAAGCCCTAACAGGGAATCAGACTTACTCTGCTCACCTCTCTTGCTTCAACAGCACAAAGTCTGCTTCGACTATCGAGGCACCCCGGAAATAGTGGGTCACAAGAGTGTGACAAACATACAAAAGAAGTCGAGTAAAAATTAAGTAAATTCGAGTAAGGATTAGGAAAGAAAAAGCAGCAGTTCCCTGTAGCAGTTCAGGCACAGTTATGAGCATGACATTGATGAATCAGCCCATTTACAATTACAATTCTACTGTGCATAAGAACATGGTTAATGTCCCCCCTTTGGGAATGGCCAAAACACACTTCAGTCAGTAGCACCGCCCCGGGGGGGGGGTTGCTATTTCTTCTGTGGCGACACTGTGCTCGGTCTTCGTTTTGTTAAAAAATCTGATCAACGCATAGGAAGCTTGTTTCGCAATAGAAAAGATCTGCTGTCAGTGGCATGACAGTGACCAGTAAAAGCGTCTTCCTTCCTTGTTGTATATGTACATACATCACCTTAACTATGACACCAGACCCCAGTCCGGTAAGACAAATGGTGAAGTTTTCCCAACAGCAACTTCCCGGCTGAGATTAAAAACAAGTGAAAAGAACAGAAAAAGTCAACAAATCTGCTAAACAATTCACATGCCTCTCCCTAACAAATAAACGCCACCTTACCCAGTAAACTTGACATTAACGTCCAGTCCAGTCTGTAGCTTGTACATAACACCCATGGCATCTTGCATATTTTGTTCATAGTTAGCTCTTGTTGTCTCGGACAAATCCTGAAAACAATTGAAAGTAGTATGAGTACAGGAGTCAGAAAAGATGACAACTCCGTAAACAATCACAATGAGTTTTGTTTTTTTAATAGTAAGAGTTTTGCAGCACTTGCGACACACTTAGGTCATGTAAGTGCTGAAGAGTAGAAATTTTACAAGAGTAACAAACATAAATAAAGGAGAAAGAGGGATAAGGACAATAGATGTTTGATAGGAAAGAAGCAAACCACACCAGATCACCCACCAACCACCAACTCACAATGAGTGATGACTAAAACAAAAAATAATAGAGGAAAAAAAATAAGACCATATATAACCCGCACTGCCTTTTTTCATTTTGGCGCCAACATGTTTTATTAGCTGAATTGAAAGCCTGATGAGTTAACATACTTGTGTGAAAAAATCAAATTGAAACTGTGACTTGCTTTCGAATAAATTAGAATTCAAATTTCGGAATGACTCTATTTTCAAACGCTGACAAAAAAAACCTCTTTTTCTTGAAGCTGCTCTGAAGAAAAAAAAGGCATTTTGTCAGCTTACGAAAGAGAAGTGCTTGTTTGTTTCTTAAAGTAAAAAGAAGCATCAACTCAATAAAGGTCATATAGTGCTTGACAACAGCAAGGCAGACACACAAATACAACAGAGAGTCTACTATTTCTTATGTGGCAACACAGCCAAAAAAAAAGGCAATTTATATAATGCAAAGATCTGTATTTTTAAAATTTGCGATCTCAGTCCAGTCCTTCCGCTCAAATGACGAAGTCTTTATGTAAAGTTTAAATCTTTTCTTTACCTTCTAATTCACTATCAATTCAATGTTATTTCTATTTTGAAAAAAAAGGGTGTGACCTCCACTATGACAACTTTTAACCCTTTCTTTACCGTCTACTACATTAATAAAAATACTATTTAGAAAACACAAAGTGTGATTTTCACTAAAGCAATATATAAGCCAAGAGTGGAGAGAGACGTCAAAAGTGAAAACTTCTCAAACAAACTGTGTTTAAACGAGACACAAAGTGGACGCTAAACAAGGCCACCTGCTTAGTAGCTCATCATGGTACCAACAGAGCTAACAGCTTGACCCTAAAAAGGATCAAATGAAAGTATCTATCTTACTAAAACATTCACAAAATTTCATTGTGTCTAGAACCAGATAAAAACCAGCCAGAAAATAAAACGACAGTCGAATACAGCCAAAACCTAATACACAATTCTCACTTAACACCTTCACTGGCCTATTGACATACTATATTTTTTTCATTATGAAATTGTACCTTTTTCTACATTTTGACATACCAGGGAATGCAAAATACATTTTATATATATATAGAGAGAAATGGTTAATCGAAAGGGTGTTTTTTCAGACATAAGAGTCATGAACTTAATAAGATATAAGACTTAGAAAAACTCCGACTAAGATCTTAAAGTTAACGTTGTAAAGATTTACGAACATCATCACTCTTTTAAGAAATTGTTCTAATAATAAAAAACTGAAATATTTGAGTATTATTACATGATGCAAGTACATATTTTGCCATAATAACTTCACTGGAAGAACAAAAAAGCGATTTAAGCATAAGATGCAAACACATTTTTTTTAACAAACTGGGAATAACAGTAGTGGATCAATTGGAAAAAAACAACCTCAACTTACTTTTTATTTGATTATTGTACAGGCCTACTTTTAAAGACTGAATTTGGTAAATATCATAAAGCAGAATATCATATAATCTCACCTGTGGCATGTTTTCAAAAATGCACTCTCCCAGGTAAGTCATGAGTTGTTCGGATGTGATCATTTCTAGCATGGGTGCCAATTTCACCTGGAAGAAAACCCCAAACAGAAATACAATAAAAACAGAAGCAGTATTATCTTTTTCAGCGAGGAAAAATAAAAGCCATTGTTGAAAAATCAGTACCAAAAGTTGCAGCTGTACAAACAGTGACCATTGTTACCCTAGAAACACATCATTCTTTTGAGAACTATGAGAAAAGAAAAAAATGTCATATATTATGATGTCTGTCACTGTAAAAAATAAAACAAAAGACTCATACTTGATCCAGCTTTACAGGGTGATTTAAAATCAACAGTCTTTTTTTGTTTTGATTTTTTCTTGCGATAGTGACGGTGGGTACAGCTCGTCAGATATCAAAGTCATCATGCTTCAGTGTTGTCCTATGCTGATAAACAATGCATTCATATACAGAGGGAATCCCCCCCCCCCCCCCCCATCCCTTGCCTCACAAAGAGGATCTGAGACTTACCTTCCCTTTCAGCAGCAGAACATTCATAATTGCTAGGAGGGGACAAGGTCCATTTTCATTTTGCGTGATGATTGGAACTTTGGCCTGGTCAAAAGCGATCCACTTGATGTAGTAAACACTTTCTTGGTCAGAATCTGAGGCGGCAGCTACAGCTGCTGCCACTGTCGATGGATCTGAACTGACGGCGGAGGAGGTGGCCGAATCCTCTTCTTTACCCGGTGTATCCAGGTCAGATACTGTAACTGGTGTTTCAGAACCTGGGCTCGCGTTGGCGTCTGCAGGGGCGGCAACAACAGTTTGGTTTTTGGCTTGGTCCTCAGAGAGGCCGGGCTGAGCTTCGGTAGGCGACGGAGACTTTGCGTTGCTGTCTGAACCGGAGTCGTCCGGACCCACACCACTGTCCTGTCCCGAGGTTGAGGGAGACACGGGGCTGGAGGCTTCCGACTTTGGCTGGGGGTCTGATGCGGGCTCCAGCGTAGCCTCATTTTGAGTGGACACAACTTGATCAGCTTCAGCGGAACTTTCAGCTGACACAGCCACGTTTTGTTTTATGTCGTCAGTGGGGTCTACAACTTCAGTGTTGCTGTCCGACTTGGCAGTAGTAGTACTGTCTGCAGTAGTGGTGGGAGACAGTGCAGCACCATGTGAACCATCTGAAACGCCAATACTTTCAGCGGAAAGCTCAGATGCTGATATTTGTTGAACAGCTAAATCTACTGTTTTATCAGCCAATGGAGTTTGCTCTTGTTTATCAGGGCAAGGTAAGGGATCAGCACTGCTATTGGTATCCACGTCTGCTTCTGTCTTATGGTCGGCAGGGGCTAATGCTGAAGAGGTAGAGTCAGTTGGGCAGTTTACTGCAGTCTCAGGAAGGGGTGCTGACTGACCCACAGGGGTGGAAGGGGAACCCTCTGACTTTTCCGGATCCATTTTATACAATTCAAGTCTTCACCTTACCTAAGGAAGGAAAAGACAGAAAATTCAGAAAATGTAAAAAGCCACAAAAGTTTTATTTTCAGATAGCATTAAGTATAGAAGATCTTATCATGTCAAACAAGTCATTCATTTATATACTATCAAAACACATGAGACCTACCCAAAGGTGGATATATCAGCTACAGGAGGTCTTATTTTCAAGTCAAACCAAATTGAGCTTAAAATTGAGAATCAACTTAACACTTTGCCTGACATTATAGTATCATCTCTGTTCTCTTTACTTTATGATAATAGAGCTTCAAGAGGCAAAGCGTCCATCCTCACTCAGTTATTGGTACTGTTCACATTTCAAAAGGAATATCTGCCTAGCATTAGTTGACTTTATAGAGGATATGAATAGAGCTGGTGGAAAGTAAAAATTGGCAGCAGCAGTAGTACAGCAGCAGTAGTACAAAAGTAAAACCAAACTAAAATGTTGACATTCATATGATGCAAAACTTCTGACAAAATGAAGAAGTGCAGAGTAAGCATTTTTGCCTTTACAATGATAAATCTGTTAAGAAGGCATATATATATAGGCCCCTCTATGCTTTAATGGCCACTATTTATGAGAAAGCATTGAGGCAGAAGCTGTAAAATGACTTTCAATTCAGCCTACAAAATTCACCATCTGATCTTTTCGAGATAAAAATCTCCTTCTCTGCAAATGACAGAAAAATTTTGCCTTGCTGAACTGAGCATGCATTGTCATACACAGATAAATTTACTTATTAAATTCTAATTATAAAGATTTATAAAATATTTTTGGTGTGCAGGTTAATAGCGCAATGTGTCTGGTTTAGTCGAAGGTCTACCGCTGGACTGTTCTTGTGATAACTGATATTTAAAACATAAAGGTCGACCACTTTTTATACTGGCTTAGATTAGAATTTGTGGCAAGGATCAGATTTTCCCTCTGCCTTTATACAGGCTTGAAACAGTCAGTGGCCATAATGTAAAAATGTTCTAGAGTGGTGGTAGTAGTATGTCGTCCAGGGGAGGGGGAAGAAGTTTTATGTGTGGGGAGTGTGGGTTTTTTTGTGGGGTTTTTTCTTTTTTTTTGTTTTTGCGGGGTTTTTTATGGGGGTAGTTCTCTTCACACACACCCTCCCCCCACTTTTTAAAAAAATAGCCCAGTCTGGTCACTTCTTGTTGGGACTTAGGCCTAGTTGTCAATCATAATCTTAACCACTGGAAAAAAACTTTTGACATAAAGTGTTAAGTACTGCGCATCAAGCAATCCACCCATACATCACGATTACGTACAAAAGTAACAATGCCACCGCCTTTTATGTAAAAGCCCCCCCAGCGACGTTTTTACCGTGGCCAATCAGAAAGAAACATTTTTGTGCAAGACCAGCCTAAATCGCAGTAGACCATGGATGATCAACCGTAGTGCAGTATAGACCTTCAACAAAACCAGCACTGTATCTCTGGCAGGCACAGTACCCGACACTGTAAGTTACAGTCTCCTACATACTTTCTTTTAGCTAGGTATATGAAATGAAATACAACTTCTTAAACAAAAACCAAAGAAAAAAGTGAATAGACAATCTAAGATACACAGTCCAACTTGTTTTATGGTTTAATACAGAGCCACCTGTCTTGACAATCACTGTGTACAAATTTATATCCTTTACACCACTTCCCACCGTTCGTTTTTCAACAATAACCAATGTCCAAAGCGTCCGCAAGACAACCACTTTTCTCCTGAACACTGGGTGGCCTTTTAAGAAAATTTTAATGTGTGTACAGAGGTAAATAAAGCTAGACTCTTCCCCGATCCTGAACCGGAGCAAACTATCTATCCATCTGTGGTCAGAAGAGGTTATTTAGTAAGTCATACTTGAAATTGAAACAATGTCTGGTAGGAAAACATTACATATACACATTTTTTTCTGTCTATTCTAAAATACAAATAGTAAAAGTTAAATGAATGGGATTAAAATTACAGGCAAATAGTTTACTGGTTCCTTCCCAGTAGGGAGTAGAGGCTCATCCTAGACAAGCCAGGAAGTGAGAGAAGTCGAGAGGAATTTTGTTACAAAACGATTACAAGATATCTAAAGAGGATTAGGGTTACGAAGACAAGGGTTAAGGTTAGAGTTCATAGGGTTCGGGTTTGTGCAAGGGTAAGTTAGGGATAGGTATGTTAGGTCCCTTCTTTTTAAAAAATAAATGGTGTTTGTAGGGGTGGTCGCTCGAATCGTAAGTCGGACGTCCTACTGAGATCATCATTTAGACATGAGTGCATACAGACCCGGTAACCGGAACAAAGTCCCGAAGTATACAGACCCGGTAGGGGAAATCTTTTGTGATTTCGGAAAGTTTCAGGAGACCTAGATCTAAATGAAGACTGCGGATGTCTTTTCGTTTTTCCTCTGTTTTGGAGTTGCAGGAATCATATGGACAATTTGAAGAAAAGAAAAGACAATGTCATAATTTCAATCGAGCAGTAACCCTCTCTACTTCTGTCTCTCTCCCCTCTTTTTCTGCCCCTCTCTCTCTCCTCTGTGTATTACTCGCCTTCTCGTTCTCTTTGTTTGCCTCTGTCTTTCTTTCTCCCCCATCTACTTTTCCACTCTATCTTTCTCTCGTTCCTTCCTGTCTACTGGGGCATGTGTGATATTTTCCGGCACTTCCCCCAGTTCTCTCCTCCTCTCTCTCTCTCGTTCACACACAAACATGCACTGCACACTTACACACACACACTCTAGCGGGTTTAGGTGCTGAAACTTCCCGAAATCACAAAAGATTTCCCCTGGGCCTGTATACTTCGTGACTTTGTTCCCAGTTACCGGGCCTATACATACTTCCAATTTATGCCGCAACCATATTAACGCCCGACATGGACGTTCAGACCAGACCGTCTTCGGGCACAGGTGACAAAAGAATGCACACGTTTCTTTAGTAATTGGAAGAAAACAGTTTCGGCTACCATACTGACACCCAACGTCCAGTGTTGTCCCTGGTCAGACCGTCTCCGATAAAACACGTTTTATCAAAGACGGCCCGTTGGACGAGATGGGAGGTCATTTTAATGATGTTATCATACTTGCATCCCCTTTCCCGCCTCTCAATGACACTTTAACAGAACCCTCTATCAGTTCTTGGTCAGCTCTACATCTTTAGCAGTTCATTAAAACTGCTATCATGTTTCATGCGATAGTATTAGTATTGTTGGAATTTTTCACTATGATCCAACAACTGCGGAAACAAAAGATGAAATTCACCTAGTGTATCATGCTTTCTTTGCATGGGATGCACTGAAAATCTTCTTGTCTCGGTTTTCCTTTTTTGTCTGCGCATCTCAAAAGCAAAAAACAACAACAATTTTCTTCTTCTACCACACGCCATATTTGCAAGATGGCGGTGTCTGACCGCCAACTCCGGTGTTAATATGGTCAGCCGCACCCGACGGGGCTGGTCTGACTGTCGGTGACAGGCGTTAATATTATAGTTCTACCCTCAGACCTCTACAGAGGGAACTCGAGACCCAAGATCCAATAACAATTTTTTTTGTGCCCTGTCTTCTATATCTTGGCCTTCAGTGACCTGGCCAAGCTCCTGGTCCTGGACTGCTTCCAATGCCTTTTGTTAAATATTGTTAAATTTAATGGAGGCCCACTGTGTCTGCGCTGAATGAGTGAATCTCATCATTCCCAATCAAGCAAGAAACCTTCACTTCATTCAGTCAGTTTATAATTAGGCCTAGATCTAGATCTAGATCTAGATTCTATGTCAAGAGGATTGGGCATCTTCATCTAGACTCAAGACCTAGATGATCTAGATTCTAGATCTAGATATCTAGATCTAGCTCTTGATCTACTGGATACGTAGGCCCTTTATGAATCTAAGTCTATAATCTGTCTACCTAACTAGAGCATTGATCAACATTTCACAGGTTCTTTTCGTAGGCCCTAATCTGTTGTTCACTTTTCCGCTCTTTTAGATTAGAAGCTTCAACTGCTTGTTGGTCCAGCAGACTGTTGAGTGAATCACTGGATTGAGATTTTTAGATTTTTGCTTGATCAGATGCTTTAACTAGAGTCTACATTTGTAGCCTTTGACCATAAACGACAGGAATTTAATTAACTTACGTCATAGGAATGTCTAAAATGTATCACCAGAGTAGATAAATAAATAGAAATGTCCAACGCTTCTCTCCTCTATTACGCTACACTTCTCTCAAACCCAGTCAAGAAGTCTGTTTGTCATGAAGCGGAAGTACCGACAGAATCAAAACAAGCGCATGTGCAGTTGTTTAGTTCGCCATCTTGGTCAACTTTTTAGTGACTTCTCGAGTTGGGTAAGTTTTTTACTCATTACTGTATTACATGGCTGAAAGTAATGTTTACTTAACTTGCATTTTGTGTTGACAGAGTAGTAGTAATGAATCCAGAAGATATGTTAGAATATAATTGACAGAATCATGCAAAAATGAGATTTGAAGTAATCGAGATGTGGAAGCAAGTTATGTCGCTCGAGCCTGAGAATCGAGGGCGAGCGGATGCCGATGGGAATTTTTTCGTCCCGGAAAGTGGGACAGACAAGTGTAAATGAATTATTTACAGAGAGAAAGACAAAGGCTATGTGAAATGAGGGTATTGCATCTACAAGTATTTTTCTTTGGGTTAGCATGCAATGTTATTCACTGAGTTTCAAAGCTCAAGAGATGCCAGGTGGTGCATTGACAGAGATCGGAGAGACCCGTGAGACCAGAATCAAGATCTTGTCGGAATGAATGAGCTGGGTTGGGTGTGTGTGTGTGTGTCCGATGATATGCCCGTTGTACTGGTTGTTCATTTTCTCTATTTGTTTTGTTTCTTTTTGTGGGTTGCATATTTGTCTTTTATATCTGTGGGCTAGTGGAGCACGATTTAATTGTATTGGGATCAAAATAAAGACTTCCCAAAGCTTTTCTATGTTTTCATGACGGCACTCGTCTTGGCCGTGGGAACACCTGCTTGCCGTATAAGGAAATCACCAATGGGCTTTTGAGAACGGTATGGGAAAATGGCTGTTACTTTTACCTCCCCTGTGTTACGGGAATGTCATTATAAGCAGGATTTTTTCTGTTGAGTTTGGATTTTTACAATTTTCATATGATTTTGGTAATATTTGTTTATCTTTTCGGTGAATTGGAGAATATTTGTGTAGTACATTTGATTTTGGAAGGACCTAATTAGCATTTACGGTTGCATTCTCAAGGGCGTCATGCCCAGTTCATTCAACAGCCCACATGATCCATTGTTCTCACGATGTCAGATGCAAATTGTGAGTTCCCACGGGCTTAGTTGTATTTCACAGGAAAGTACCACCCTGGTCTTTGTGCTTTGATGAATCTTGTGCAGTGTTTCTCGGCCGTTTCGTAATCTTTGTGCGTAGTTCAGGCTGTGCTGTGCGTTGTTTTATTAATTCAAGAAATAATATGTTTAAAAATCCAGTAACCTTGGAAACTAACCGTGATCTGGTGGCGTTTCTCTTGTAAACGTTCACATACTCACAAGCAGTGTTAGTGTTGAATAAAAGGACTTCACTTTAATAGTTTTTGCCTCAAGTCCAAGTTGATCGCGGCCGGCTTGTGCTTTGGACCACTGGTCCTTCTTTCTTTATTTCTACGGCTATTGAGTCAGTCCTTTTTGGCGTGCTTGATGTGATGATTCACATTCAGCACTGTGTTTTGTTTTTATTTTGATGTGCACAGGCTGGTGTGTTGTTAAAGAGCGAGATGCCTTCTTCTTGTTTTTGTTCAAAATTTGAGACTAAAGTCCTCAGTAGTATCTAGATTAGATCTATTGGTTTCTTTAGTAAATTAGTTTGATTGTCCCTGATTGTTTTGAGGTTAGTCTTGATCTTGCATTCAATCTCTGAGCCCAAGAGTTTGAAAAAATAAATTCAAATTTAGAGTATCCAGAAAGGATAAAAGGTCTAGAGGAACGCCTTGAAAGTTTTGTGTGTGTCTATTAGGGTACTTTTATGGTCAGATTTGGATCATAACCACATCTCAAAAAAGATTTTTGAACACTGGTTTCTCAGCCCAACAATGGATGTTGACGACTTGCAGGTATTTTGAATCTCAATTTTTCTAACGTTATTTATTATTTGTGTTTGTAGACCCAAGGACCAACTGTTATTCAAATGTCTATTGTGATTTTTTAATTGTTATATAATTTTTTGGGAAGATTGAAGAATATCGGACCACTCGTAGATAGCTATACATTATTGCGCGAGAATGTGGGGCGGGTGGGTTTCAGGGGGGTCTTCCCCCCCCCACCTGACAAAATTTTATGAATAGATCTAGGCCCTACGGGTCCGAGATTCTCCATTGGGAGATAAAAACTCGGGGAAATCATGAATTCCTAAGGTTGAGACATAGGCAAAGTCAGTCCGCTGGTCCGGTATTCTTCAATCTTACCAATTTTTTATTAGAATATTGGATATTCTTTTACTC